AACAACATCCAGCAACTCAATTTGTAATAGCCATGGCCAGATTTGCATAAGAATTCAACACCCAATATTCTGAGCTCCACCCAAAAATCTGGCTACTTATTTTGGTGCTGCGATGAGAGCAGAGCTCTTTCGACAATCTGGCCCATAAAGCTGTATGATGGAAGGGAAAGCAGCCACTTGCTTCAGCTGGAAGAGAACAGAAGGCCATTCAAGGAGGGTATTTAAATATTAACTGATTACAAGAGCACTGGCAGCGCTTTGATCAGCCTGTGGGGGTTGGGGGGGTGAAGCATGCTGTACAGCAGGCAGAGTCTAATTTAATCTGAATTATGGAGCCAACATGCTTTTAATTACATCTTTAGCCATACACTCAAGGGACACTGTCATATCAACTGTGGCCCAATATTTAGAGTTATTTTTATATCACGATTCTACTACCACCTAAAAGCCAGAGAATACTTCCTGTGATTTGCTGATTGAGTTTTTATTTTAAATTTAATGGAAATAGGGAGGAGGATGCAATTGTTATCATCATTATTTCAAAACAAAAACCTCCCTCCTACAATGTTTACAACCCATACAGTGCCAAATTTTGCTAGTGCACATGAACTAGGATGTGAAAGAGGCAAGTCTATTTGCACTGTTCAAGCAAAGAAGAAAAGAACAAAATGCTGACTTCCACCACAGGGAGGGAGCAGGTGATAAAGAGTGTCAATGAACTAAGCTGGAGAACAGTGGTTTCCCAACTGTGCTCCAACAGGCATTCTGCAAAGAGACTGGAGGTAATGGTGAAGCAAGTTGGGAAGCAATGTGCCACCACAGCCAGACCAGGTCACCTGGCCCCTGGAGACAGGGGGTAGGGTTTCCATGGCAGAAGAAGTGATGTGAAAGGATTCCATGACTTCAGGACAGGGGCGGGCAATTATTTCGGGCAGAGGGCCACTTACTGAATTTTGGCAAGCCACTGAGAGCCACATGACAGCTAGTCAGGGGCAGATAAATATTAATTTTTGAAATTTTGATCAGCCTGTGGTGGGGGGGCTAGCTAACTTGGGTACCTATAGTAGTCAAGTTGTAATGGTCCGGGCTTCAAGTCAGGCTCTCTACCCAGGTAACCTGCAGCCTTCTAATAATCTTGTACAGCCCATGCTACTGCCTAGGCTGCTGTAGCTTCAAAGTACTGCTACCCAAGCTAGCTAGGATAACTTGGGTATAGCTACACATACTACAATCACAACTCATGTTTGTAGTGCAGTTATGTAAAACCGTGCTTACCCATTTCATGAAATGGTAAAAACCTTGCTTTACATTGGTGCATAGAATTTGGCCATATTTAACACAGAATTTAACATAGAATTTTGCCCAGGGTCACTATATCAATATATTGACAGTGATGCAAATATCTCTAATGCACTTTTATTCAGGAAGAGAGCCTGGTACTCATATATGATGGTGATGAGCACAGAATAGGTAACAAGCAGGAGAAACCCAGACATAATGGTAAGAAATACATCTGAACTGTACTATTTTATACTCTCCAATGTTGCTAGGAACATGGGTGATTTTGTCTGTTTAATATTATTATTATTGATGATGATGTTTTTTTAAGACAACAGTGTCTCTTTAAACATGCCAAAAATCTATCGCTTTTCCATTGCTACTTTGAGAAAGAACTAACTCAAGCATAAGAGGAGAATTAGTTAAAAACCAGTAACAATGATAAATATCTAGAAGCTGTTTAATTAAAAGCCCATTCCGTGTCTGTCCACATTATTGATGGTGACACACTGAAGCTTTCTGCACAGCTAGAAATCTAAACAATAATTTGTAAAAGCTTGATATACATGGCAATGTAGCATGTTGGATGAGTGCACTACTATCACAGACTTTTCATTCCATCCAGGAAGAGCACACACCAATGGCTGAAGCTTCCTGAGCCTGACGAAGGGTTTTTGAACCCGAAAGCTTGCTTAATAAATATTCTCCAACTATTTGGGTTGGTCTAATAAAAGATATCAAATTCACCCAAGGAACCTTGTCTGCCTACTATCACAGAAGCGCTGTCCCCATAGGAAATACTGGTACAATGGTTAGGATGTTAACTAGAGAGATCTGGGTTTGGTATCCATACTCT